TTTTTTTTTTTTGTACCTACAGCATTAATAACAGTACTGTAATTTTGTTTTACTTTTCACATTTTAAATTATTCAGTTGTTATATTTATCACCATTTAGGGAATTATTAAAAAACTTATGTCCACAATGCTCCTGATTAATGTGTATTTAGGCAGCTAAACAGATGTAGAATGGATTGACTGCTTTGATAAAATTAAACATTGATGAAACATAAATTTGCACTGCAGTAATGATGCCAGTGTTTGTAGAAATAACAGATCTATTTTCCTAATCATGAAGGGGGGCAAAAAAGTGAGAGGGTGACAAAATTACCAAATATGTCTGGCTTACTAGGCAGATGATTTTCAAGTGCAAATCTTTTTGTTTTGTTTTGCTTTAAATGTGAACACATTATGTTAATTTATAGTATTTATTACCACTTGAAAACAAAAGAAGTATATTTGAACAACAAAGAAAACAACAACAACAATACTGTAACTGAAACCTGAATCATATTCCCAGGACTTCATGTACCTCATGGAAAATGCATGTTTTTTATTGTACTCTTCCACATTACCATAATTTGATTTTATACAAAAAGATGTATGCTGAGATCTGAAGCTAGGTGATTCTACCAATCAATACATTTATAATCGGTGGCACATCACAGTGTGGTTGGCAGCATTTTGTTTTCTTTTTTACGTCAATAGGACCTTTGATTCAATTAAATAGGGGATTAGGACCTGAAGTAAATCTAATCCTAGCCCACAAGAAACAAAAACAAAGAGCCAAAAAAATAAAAAAAAGGACTAAAAAGTAGATAAAATACCTACCCATATTAAACCAACAAAAGGTGATAACTAATTAGAAATTAGGTTAATTCATGGATTTCTGCTTTCATGGAGTCAGAGGTAAAATCATGTAGGAAAAGAATAGGAAAGAAAATAGGGAAAACAGGAGAATGAAGTATTAAAATGGTACTCAGCTACCACTGCCAACTGCTACAAAAGGGATCACATTAAAAGGTCCCAGAAAGAGTGGGAGAAAATGTGGAACAAAACTCAAAATTATAAAAACAAGATTAGACTTACTGATCAAAGATACTATGGCCCTTGGCCACCCTTCAGGTCTAGAAAGGAGCACATCTTGTGACTCAGTTTTCAACCAAGCAGTAGATAGGTATGAATGGGGAACAACAACATTACTGAAGTATGCTCAGCATGGAATGATCAATCTTTTAAAATCTAAAGGGCCATATTTACAGGACAAAGGTTAGAAGGGATGGAAAGGAGGGTGAAATGAAAATAGGAACCAATGGGAGGAAGTGGGATAATGGTTGTTTTATGGAGTAGATTGCAATCATTGAGATGAAACAAAGTGTATGATTTGTTGAATGTAAAACTGATGGTCTTGTCTATAAACCTTCACTGAATTAACAATAAAAAGTTTAAAAAAAGAAAAAAATATGGGTAATAGAGCCAAAAAGCCTACTATTCAGATCATTATTTCTTAGGTGTGGTACCTTGTGCTAGATATTCAGCTTACTGGTGCTTTTTTTCACTATAGACATTGGTCAGTGGAGATCCTAAAGGGAGAGATGTTAGAGGAGCATTCAGCACCTTTCAAAGAGTATTTTCTCTGCTCTGGTCTATCCAGGTTGAAGATGACACCATTGCCCCCAAATATCTCTGAGTTCCTCTTTCATCTCTATCCTAAAGCACTGGAGAAGACATGAATGATCATTACAACTTCTGCTTGTTTGTTTGTTCTTTCAGGTTATATCAAGATTATCGAACAAATCTACAGTCTCACAGGTAAGACTTTTACTAAAGAGCAACTTGATTATTTAACACTTGAATGATTACCAATAATTGTGGATACTCCTTTAAGATTTAATGTACCTATTTTTTAATTTGTTTGATATACCTCCCAAAGAGGGAGATGGGGACAGAATTTCTTGGACTTGGGAATGAAGAAGTAGTGAATTCATAGCCTTATACAAAGCTTTTGCTATTAATTATAGTTTGTCACCAAAAGTACAAAGTCCTGAGGTATTGATCTTAAACATATTTTCACTGTATTTAAAATTTAAATACAGTGTATTTAAAATTTAAAATTGGTACTCACATATTTTATTGTAAGCAACCAATTGGTGATAGAACAGAGTATCTATAATGTAGACAAGTATTATTCAAAGATATTCTGGAAATAGTTTCACCTGAGTTCTTAAAACATTCTCAACTTTAAAGAACCTTCCAACCTCATTGAATACTTTCACAAAGGAATAGCAATTTGCTAAATATATTATCCTATAGCAGGAATTCTATGAATAGTTCCTTGCTTTGTATTCGCCTTGAAGCAGAATCCAACACTGAAAATCACACAGGTAAAACACAAATATATTAAATTACATAACACCTTACAAATGCTTTTTAAATTTTTTTTACTTTTTTGTTGTGAATATGAATTGACCATTTACATGGGAGAACATCTGCTTTATACTCATCCTATTGTATTTTATTTCATTGTAATAATTACAGTCCGCTCCATGCATCATCATTCAATAGTATTTGCTTCTATTTCCTCTGGGTTTTTTTGGGGGGGATGTACACCAAAACACTCAGGAATAGATAATCATTCAAACAACCAAAGGGCATGCCCTGCAAGCCTGGCCCCCTGGCCGCCAGCACACAGCCCCTCTTCCTCAGTGAGTCTAGAGTCCCCAGCCACACCATCTCTCCACATCATCATCTCTGTCCCCATCTCTAGCATCTCTGGTTCTCTGAATAGGTTCCCATACTCCATTCCCACTCTTCTCCCTTTATGGTACCAGGGTCCTCCGCTCCTGGACTGCAAAATCAACCACTCCCCTCTTTTTGCTAAAAAACGTCTACCCTTACAGTTACAACAATCACAGCAATTACTCACTATTGAACCACAAGAGTCTTATCCCCATCTCCTTTCACCAGCCGTGTCTAGACAGGTTGAAAACCACTCAGTAGAGAGTCTACCTTTCCCCACACTCTCTAAAACTAAATCCCCTCTTGAAAACTTGTAAGCCAGTCTTGAAAACTTTGTGACTTTTATAGCCCCCATTTTAGGTAGCCATTGACTAAGTTGCCTTTCCCTATCAACCCTGTGTACAGAGGGGATGGGAATGATCCTTGCTGTGAAGATTCCTTCCCTCTTGGTTGGTATTTTAAGCTACTACATCCATAAATATAGGTCAGGTTCATCAAGTGTAGTGAGAATTACAATTGGTTTCTTTATTTAAAAAAAAAATTTCCCCCTTTTCTTTCTTCCTCTAGTCAAGTTCTGATCATCTAGCCATTGAAGCTAGGTCAAATGGGTGCTGTATGCAAGTATGGGTGTTTTTGTGCATCTCCCCTCACTTCATATCATCTGGACACTTAACTCTCCGTTCTAGCCCTCTGTGCTATATCCTTGTCCATGGGTTCAAGAGTTCCCAGGTCTCACCATACTGCTGGCCAACCTGGTCTCACCATACTCCAGGTTGACGGGAGTCTATTGAACATGGTCGGGCTCAGCCCATATCCTCCTTGCTGCTTTTCTCCCACTTCCCCTCACCAGTAGACCAACATGGTTGCCAGCGAGATAACATGCCTGCTCGTATATTACCTTTGAGTTTTAGTCTTGGAAGGGGGTTTGCCATGAAGGGACTTGATTGCTTGCCTTGATGGCTCCATTGTGGACAACTTGCTTTTCTTGTGGTGGTAATCAAATCAGACTGCCATTTTTGGTTTTAATGTTTTCTGCTGGTCTTTCTTTCAAGATGTATCCTCTGTTCCTCTAGTTGCTCTAGGCTCTGCTTGTCTTTTCAAATGTAACTTTCCCACCTCAGAAGATTCTGGAAGGGAATCAGGATTCCACCTAAAATCTTATACACTGCCAAGACTCCGCAGGAAGCCTCTTTCACGGGCAAGTTGTAGCATCCCATTTAGGTATTCCAACCAGTTTTAGGCTGAAGATGGACTTACAAGCTTTATATAATCGTGTTTCTGGCTATTCATTTCTCTCCTCCTCAAGTATATATTTTACAATAGTAGGCAAGGGAAACCAAGATTCATGACAGTCAAGCATCTTAACATTATTTCCCCTCTTTTATCCATTAAGACTATGCCTGAATCCCTATATCACAGAGCCCTGTTGTTCCAAGGTTGAGCATACATCACTATATACCTCTATCCCATTTAGCCCATGCAAACCTGTCTTAAACGTTCTCCTATCTGCCTTATGCTATACCTTACACTCCCTTCCCTCACATCCCCCTACTCCTTGGTAACAAACAAAGAATTTTTTTTTTCTTCATTTAGTTTGGGCATTTTTTCTTAAGCTTTTCCATTAATGGTCTTATGCAGTAGTTGTCCTTTTGTGACTAATTTCACTCAAGGTTCATCCATGTTATTTGGTGGCTTACAGCTTCCATGATATTCTTCAAGGTAGCATAATATTCCATTGTGTGGATGTTGTTGTTGTTGTTATGTGCCGTCGAGTTGGTTCCAACCCATAGCGAACCCTGTACAGGGTTTCCGAGGCTGTAAGTCTTTATGGGAGCATAAAGCCTCCTCTTTCTCCCGTGGAGCAGCTGGTAGTTTCGAACTGCATACCTTAAGGTTCGCAGCCCGATTTGTAACCACTACGTAATCAGAGCTCATTGGGAAAGATATTTTCCCATTCTGTGGGCTCCATTTTTACTTTTTTTGTGAAGTCTTTGATGAACATAAATTTCTAAATTTTTTTTTTCTTAAATGTTTTACTGTGAATTATGTGATAGTTTACATGGGAGCACATTAGTTTTACATTCATTCTATCGTATATCGTCTCATTGCCATGGTTACAATCCGCTCCATGCAATCCTTCCCCCGCACCCCCAGGTCTTCAGCACATATTCGCTCTCCCTCTCTGGATCTAAAGTCTCCAGCTGCTCCATCGCTC